TCCGGGACTGAACTTGGGCCTGTTGCGTGTAAAGCATGGGCTCCAACCCATTCGGTGACTTTCTGACAAAGAGGAAGCCACTCTTTTGGATGGCAGTGTTCAGGAGACCCAGCGGCCCCTCCCAGCAACTCTCAACTAATGGGGCCAGCAGCTCAATGTAAGAACTCAAGGAATCGACAGTGCACAGGCTTTGAGGTCCTGAGGATTACCCAGGCCATGGATTGCCCCTAGTGGTGTTTCAGGCATCCTGCTGTGCTTGTGGGAACATGCTAGAATAAGTGAGGGATGGTCAGGTGCAAAGCATATGCCTTAACCTCTGTACTATCTCTCCAGCCCTTCGTTCTTTTTAAAAATGGATAAATGGGAGGGGGAGGGGAGATCAAGTATTTATTCTCTTTCACGTTTCGTGGTTTTTTTTTGGTTTTGTTTTGGGGGCCATACTCAGTGGTGTCCGAGGGCTACTCCCAGCTCTTCCTTCAGGGGTCGCTTCATGAGCTGCTCAAGGGCCCATGTAGTACCAGGAATGAAACAAGGGACTCCCGTATGCAAAGCCTGCACTGAGCCTTTTGAGCCATCTCTCCTGCACCATATCCTTTCATTTATGAAATATAGCTGAGCAAATCATATATGAGAATAGATGGTTCCCTATTAAAATATTCTAGACAATATATGAAATGGAAATAAAATGACAAAGGTAGAATATCACTATTCCCAAGAGGTCTAGCTACTGAGCATCAACAGCTGAGAAAACCAAAGTAGGGCAAGAAACAGACACAAGTGCCCACAGAGGCCGATATTCTTGTCATTGGAATCAAACATGAACCGATTAAGCAGCCTTGGGATCCAGATGGCAATCTGAGAGAAGAAAAGAATATATTTGTTTGCCCTAAGGGTGCAACCACACACTTATGAACCATTCTGCTCCAACATGGCAGATTGTTTAAGAGACAAAATGTTAAGAAAACTGAAAGGATAGAAAAGGAACCTATAGGGGCTGGAGTGACAGCACAGCGGGTAGGGCATTTGCCTTGCACGCGGCCCGATCCGGGTTCGATTCCCAGCATCCCATATGGTCCCCTGAGTACGGCCAGGAGTAATTCCTGAGTGCATGAACCAGGAGTAACCCCTGCGTGTCGCTGGGTGTGACCCAAAAAAGCCAAAAAAAAAAAAAAACTAATAAAAAAAAAAGAAAAGGAACCTATAGATGGAAAGACTTAAGGCAGGGCCAGAGAGCTTGTACAGTGAGTAGGGTACTTGCCTTGCATGCAGCAGGCCCAGGTTCAATCTCTGGCACCACTTACGGTCCCCAGAGCCCTGCCAGGAGTGATCCTTGAGGGCAGAGCCAGGAGTAAGTAAGCCCTGAGCACCACCACGTGTGTGCTATAAACTAAAAGAAAAAAAAACCCAAACAACAACAACAAAAATAACCCAAGAAACTTAAGGAGCAGAAGAAATAATACAGTGGGTAGGGTTTCTGCCTTGTACATGGCCCACCCAGGTTTTATCCCTGGCACCCAATATAGTCCCCTAGGTCCTGGCAGGAGTGAAAGCTTAGCACAGAGAGACAGGAGTGAGCCCTGAGCACAGCTGGGTATGGTCCCCAAAATAAAAATTAAGAACTCTTAATAGATAATGACACATCTCTAAAAACACAAAGGTGTGTCTAACAGCACTATTACTAAAAACCACCCAATTGGCCACCAATATTTTCACACAAAGAAACATTCCACAGCTATGAGAAAGAATAAACTAGTGATGCATAGAACATAAAAACAACATTTAGAGGAACAAAACAATTGCAAATCAATACATAATAAAACTCAGTCTAGAACAAAGGTATAAAGAAACCAGTCTAGATAAACTTTATATATTTATAGTCGGTGTATATAAGTTTAAAAAGGTTAATTGCACAAGTTCTTAGAACATAAATATATTAAGTGTTAAAAGAAACATTTAAAGAAAACCAAGGGAATGAAAAACACAAAATTCCTGATGGAGCCCTATGAGGAGACACAGGAGTTCAAGGAAACACAGAAGATAAGGTCATCTTCTATTTTTAAATGTGGAGAGTTGGCAGAGGTATGTATGGTCATAACTGTAACATTACAATATAGTACATATCTTACATGTACTCTTTATTCCAAATAAAACCAAACTCTAGGCCCCACTTAGGAGGACACTATTTCTAGACACACTCATCTTTGTTTCACAGGTTCAACAAGAGCTTCTTTTGGCTAAGCAGAAAACTTCCTATTAACTAACCAATGATAATAATGGACTGAAAGATTTTACAAGAAGAGGCACTGCACACACTTAAAATTCATTCCTTCCTAAAAGAGGAAAAAGGGATGTGGAAGAGCAGCTAAATGCTCCAGATTTATTTAGGGTCTCTGAGAGTACAACAATCAAATGGGAAATAATACCACTGAGAACTAGGAATTCCTAGCATTAAAAAATTTGGGGCCTTGTTTTAAACACATCTGTGCATTTCTCAGATAATTTATGTACATCATTTACATCATTATAGTACATTATAAAATTAGATTGCACGTGAGATGCTAACTGAAACGACTTGAAAACCAACTTCCAAATAGAAGCCTCCTTTCTGAAGTGTCTCTCATTCCTTCCAAAGAGACAGGGCCCTGGAAGGTTACTCCTTCAGGTAGCTTGTACCTCTGATCCCATTGATCAAACAAAACAAAAACCTCTGAAAATCACAGAAATCTAGTAAGAAATTTCAGCAATACTGAGTCTTGAATTAATAGGGCCTACTAGTCAGTTAAGACTCTGCTAAATGTTTAAGCGGTGAATACTGATTTCTATTGAGAACCATCAGCTCTTAGGAAAATGATGTTTTCAGAACAAATAGAAGGACACTATGTTTTGAATGACTCTGAAGAGGGCAAGAGCAGAGGAGATTAAAAAATAATTGCCGGACAATCATGACCTAAAGCCGATAATTAGAGGTCTTTACCATCTCATTCCCCAAAGATATAAAAATCATAAATTTGAATAGCTTTAATATCTGATGTCTTCAAATTACCACAAAATGCTGGCCTCTTTTACCTGCATTCCAACCAGTCCCGGTACTTCTACACGGGGCTGAGTTCTCCGAGCAGGGAAAGCCATTCTCAGGTGAACAGTTCTGGGGGGACCCTTGGGCTTTGCTGTGTGAGCATTTCTGCCCCACACCGCAGGGCACAGCAACACTCACGCTCCAGGGAGCCCCCCCCCCCCCCGGTCTGGGCTACTCAGCTGTGGTCACATCACAGTGATAGCTCAGGACCGAGGCCGAGTTTCACTCTGAGTTTCACTTTCCTCATTTCTATCGAGGGCTGTGGATCATTTTCCTAACATTGTTATTTCCTTTCCCATATAAAACTCAGTATGGGCTTACGGAATTTTTTTTAAAACAGGAAAGAAAGCTTCCAAAGAAAATGTCAGCAAAACGAAAATAAAATTAGGGGGTGTTTATTCTTTAAAAGGGCCTGCCACAGGGCACTTAATATAGAACTCTGCACTCAAGAGCTAGTTTAAACAGGCTTCATAGAGACTAATTCCTTTAGAAACCACCAGTAGAAAATGAGTCAAGATTTCACTGGGAGAGTATTTATGTAAACAATAAGGAGGACTTGCAATTTGTTCCACATTACTTCTAAATTCCAGTTCAAAATTCTGGATTCATTTTGAGATATTTATGTTTTTGTAAATATAGTTTGGTTTTATATTTTTGAGTTTCTTTGGGTGGGGAGCCACAGTCAAGAGTGCTTGGGAACTACTTCTAGTGTGGTGTGTGTTGGGGGAAGGAACTTTCCATGTGAACCTGGGAGGTAGAAACTGGGGTTCCTGCACGCAAAGCCCTTTGAGCCATCTCTTCAGCCCTTGTCGTGGGTTTGGGAATGGAGTCAAAGTCAGTTTCTTCCAATATATGATGGAAAGGGCATATTGACAGAAAAAAACTTTAATTCTTCTTTAGTGATTTTGGCCTGATTGCTAGAAGGGGAAATAATAACTTGCTCTGTATTCATTCTTCGTTATCAGGGGAAAGAGAATATTCCAGAAAATATGGGCTACCATCAATCAGCTGTGTGGCTGCTCGAGGAGATAAAATATGGCATGTCCTTACACAACCTCCTCCCTTCTGCAACTAATTCCACCAGCCAGCAGAGAAGTTGGCCGGCGCAACACACCATGGTTCATGCCCTGACCTGGACCAAGGCAGCTTGGGGATGAGCAGATGTTGCCCTGCTACAGGAAAGAACAGAGCTGATGAGAAGTGCAAGAGCTTGGGAGTCTTGGGGACAGGGATATGGCACATGCTTTCTCCTTTTTAGGTTCCACCCCCAGCTCTACAGGGTTCCCCAAATACCAACGGGATTGGTCCCAGTCACTGTCAGGTGTGACCAGCCATTCTCACCATAAAGGAGTCTTGGTTATTGTTTTTTTGTCTGGGTACAAACTATATTTCTTATGAGTCCAGCTTTGAAATAAATGTATGAGACAATATGCTATGATCTAAGCAAATTATATATATATAATATATATATATATATATATATAGTGAAAATTATGGTCTCAAGCTGCTGTTGCTTCCATTTTATGGTTGCCACTCATTCAATCCCTGCTGATAATAACCAAATGTGAGGATATTCAATTGTTTCTTCAATAAAGACCGCCAGAGAACCTCACCTAGAGGTGTAACTAAAAGCAAACAAAAGACAAACTCACGCAATGCTTAATCAAGAATTTTACAAAGTCCTAGAGAAGTCACATTATTTTTGGGTTTTGGTTTTGGGGCCACACCTGAAGGTATTCAGGGCTTACTCTGAGTTCATCACTCAGTGATCACCCCTTGCAACTCGAGGGACCATACGTAGTCCTGGGTACAGTTCCGGGTTGGTGGCATGCAGGCTAAGCGCCCTTCCTGTTGTATTGTCACTCTGGCCCTAGAAGCCATGTATTTAAATCAAAAGAAAGCTAATGAAAAAGATCTTTCTCACCTTTTGAAAATTCTCCTTCCACTTATCTTCTAGGAGAACAAATCCACGTAAACCCCAGTCAAGTAATTTCTCTCCGTTGACCTTGAAATAAAATATAAAAGATCACTTTGCTGATCTGTATGTGACTGGTAAGGAAACTTTCCTATTTCCTGTTTCCAAAAGAATGGAAATTATGTATATGATGATCATATAAGTCTTGGAGCACACACATACACATTATACAACAGAAGCAAATAAAGAGACAGTAAGATGTGAAAACGAGAGAAAAAAGTCTGAGTGTGCACAGCTCTCTCTTTAAAAAGCATCATAAATTACAGCTGTAATATTGTAAACATCCACAATTTAAAAGGAAAAACTGTGGGAGTTCAGGTTGTGCGAGGAGACTCTGCAGAAAAGCACATGCCTTGACACAAGTTCAATCCCCAGCACTGGAGGGGAAAGACTGTTGCTGCCATAAGACCATCTGAAACCAGACACAGCACGTTTCCCCTTCTTGTCTAGCACATGAAAGCCAGCCAAGTCTCATCTGCCAAACTGAAAATCAATTGTTCACTTTTAGGGATTTAGATTTGAAAAACAGAAAACAGGTGAACCTAAGTGGAGTTGCTATCAGTTTTTCAATTTTCCCAGGTCCTCCCCAACATATGCTCAAGATTTCTGTTGGAACTTGCCTTCTGATGCAGAAGTTTCTCTCCAACATTCCCCAGTCACGTCCCAGGGTCAGAGAATGTTCTGTGGTCTGGGAGTTCGCTGCCTTAAAATGCGTTCGGCTAATTGGCTTTCATGATGGAAACTTTTTTTCATTTATTTATTTTTTCCTTTTTGGACCATTCCTAGTGGTGCCCAGGGGTTACTCCTGGCTGGGAACTCAGGAATTACTCCTGGTGATGGTTGGGGAGCCATATGGGATGCCGGGATCGAATCCAAGTCGGCCACTACCTTACCTGCTGTACTATCGCTTTGGCCCCAAGGTGCTGATTTCTAATAAAGTATATTCTTCCAGTTGCTCCAACTGTTCTTTTTCGAAAGGTGGTGCTAGGGATTGAACCCAGGGTCTCACACACGCAAAGCATGTGTCTAGCACTGAGTTACATCCCTAACTTCTGTTCTTTTATAAAAAAATTAATATCATTTCTATTATTCAGAAGTGATACATATTTTGCCGTGGTAGAATGACTAAAATAGTTATTTTTAACAATGTTTGTTGACCCAGTGACATGTTTTTCATTCAAAGGATTTCCCTGACAAAATCTAGTTTGTTATATATGAAAGAAAAAATTCAAAAATAAGTTAAAATAAATTTGGATTTATTTTTTGTGGTACTGGGGATAAAACCCAGGTTTTATGCATGCTAATCATGTTCTTTACTGCTGAGTCACATCTCTGGCCCTACAGTAAGATAAATTTGATTACAAGCAAGTAGCATCCTCTATTTACACATATTCAGCCAATAGATTCCTCAGATACTAACATTAGGAGAAAAATGAATAATATATATGTATAACTTTCCATAGTAAAAATACATAATTTATAAATTATAGCAACGTAGGAAAGGAAATATATTTCCTTCTCTCATCAGGATTCTTGGCCGAGACATCCCTGTAATAAATAATAGATTAACAGGAAGAGAAAAACAAGTTTAATAACTTGTATGTCTTCTGTATACAGAGGAGATACCCAAGAAAACAGAAAAGCTACATAACTTGTCCTCTCTTTTTTACTGGGGGGGCACTCTGGGGACACACCTAGCAGTGCTCAGAGATCGCCTGAGGGAGCATGTGGTGCCAGAGATCAAACCCAGGTTTCCCACAAGCAAATCACTTGTTGTTTCTTAAAATAGGCTATGACATAATCCTGAGACCAGCAGTAGGCAGCACTCACCATGTATGTTACTGTTCACGGTGTTTAGAATTGCTGACATTAAAATAGCATTCATATGCACCATCGGGCCCTAGCATTTAACCGGCTAGGCAGGTTGGCTCAGAATCGCACACAAGGGACCCTCAGCCCCTTGAGTACCACTTGGGAGGCTCCTCACCAGCACCAAAGAGCATTTCCCATCAGTCTAAAGGTTTTCTTACAGACAACAGCATGCAAGCAAGTAAGCAGCTTGTCCAAGGTCATGGCATTCATGAAAATAAAATAAAAACTGAAATAGGAACTAAAAAAACATTAAATGAATATCAATCTTGGCCACTGACTTGTTTTCATTGCAGCAAAATATACAAAGCATAAAATTTACCATTTCAACCATTTTTAAGTACACAATTCAGAGGACTTAAGGACATTCACAAAGTTGTGCAACCATTATCACTTTCTATTTCCAAAATGTTTCCATCATTCTAAACAGATCCACTAATAATTTATAATCTAGTAAAAAGAAAGGTAATTAATTTGTCCTGGCTTGCTCTAGGTACAAAAGACAAAACCCTTTTTTCTGACATGAAAAATAAGAACACAGGTTTGCATTGGCTGTGAATACAAAAGATCTTCTGCAATAATTGCATATATATATGTTTATTTATTTAAGATGAAACTGACATCTACCCTGAATGCAGCCGTATATGCTTCCCAACCAGCAGCTAAGTTCACTCTCCCGATCTTATCCATTTTCTAATTCAACTCTAACAGACCGAGATGACGCTTAATTATTTTTATGATCTAAGGCATACAGATATGACTAGTCATTCTGAGCTGGGGCAGAATCAGGCACCAAAACCAATGTAAGGCATTGGCTGTGTTCTGGCCCTTAATACCTTGTCCTGGGTCCTGGCTCTGTTCTCGCTTTCCTTGCTGGGACCTTTGGTGAGGGCAGTCACCTCTGCTGGGAATATCCCTCTTGAATTGAGTGACTGTTCCTTTCTTACCTACCAGGCTTCAGCTAGATGATGTCCTAGTTAGTAGGACACGGTGGTAGGAATGGTGGGTAAAGCTTAAACATTGAACTTAAAACTTGAACATTAAGACTTAATTAGCCTTTAGGACTGCTACCATGTCAAGCCTCACTGCTACTCAGGACTTGGGCTGGAGTGATAGCACTGTGGATAGGGCGTTTGCCTTGCATGCGGTCAACCTGGGTTTGATTCCTCTGTGCCTCTCGGAGAGCCCAGCAAGCTACCAAGAGTATCCCACCCACACAGCAGAGCTTGGCAAGCTCCCCATGGTGTATTCAATATGCAAAAAACAGTAACAAGTCTCACAATGGAGATGTTACTGGTGCCTGCTCGAGCAAATCGATGAACAATGGGAGGACAGTGCGATACTGCTACCATGTCAAGCCCATGCTAGAAAGATCTTATTGGCAGTTGCCACAAAAGTCAACAGTTTCCCACAATTGGGGCCACTGGACACACGACTACAATCTCAGGCCGATCTGAGAGTGACAGGCCCAGTGTTGTCACAGGAAATCCACCCGGGGAGTTCAGGGTCCACTTGGCCTGGCTGCTGCTCCTCCACTGGGATGTGTCAGTTCTGGCCACTGGATCCCTCTGACTGTAAGCTGCCCAGGGTCTCAGGATCTGGGGCCTGTCTAGCAGGCTTCCCAAGGACTCTATGTTTCACCTTCCAAGTCCAGGCACCACCACCGCCTGAGGGAGCCTAGTTTATGTCAGTGTTCTCAAACCTGGGGATTAAAATTCCCTGCAGGGCTTGCTAAAACACTAATGGCCAACCCTAACCCTTAGAGCATCTGTGACAGTCGGGCTTGGGTCGTGCCTGAGAATCTGCATACTTAACAAGTTCTCAGGAGATCACATCTTGAGAACGGCTAGTCCAGCTCTAATGAACTGAATTGAGTCTCTCTAAATTCATACGTTGAAGCCCTAATCTGCAATGTGACAAAATGGCCTTAAAGAACAGGTAATTAAGATTAAGTAAAGCCATAAGGGTGGGGCTCTAACCCAGTATCACCAGGGCCATTATTAGATGAGGACTAGACACCAGGGCTGTATATGCACGGTGAAAAAGGCTATGTGAGGACACAGTGCGAAGTCAAGGAGAAACTAAAGCTGCCAGCACCTTGATCTTAAGACATGAAGCCTCCAAAAACAACTGTGAGAAAACTAATTTCGGAGGATTAAGCCCTGCAGTTCATGATCCTTTGTTATAGTAACTCCCTCCAAGAGGTCAGCTTTACTCACGATGCCTACCACCGTGTCCTACTTACTAGGACATCATCTAGCTGAAGCCTGGTAGGTAAGAAAGGAACAGTCACTCAATTCAAGAGGGATATTCCCAGCAGAGGTGACTGCCCTCACCAAAGGTCCCAGCAAGGAAAGCGAGAGCAGAGCCAGGACCCAGGACAAGGTATTAAGGGCCAGAACATAGCCAATGCCTACAGCACCACAGAACACATCCTATAACCAGACATGCCCAAACTGAGGATGTGTTCTAATTATCAGTTTAGGGATTTGACTCTGTAAATATGAAAAAAAAAGATTTCTTAAATATTCAAAGTAGCACATATGCATTCTCAGAACACTAACGTTAAAGGAAGGCAGGCCAGAACTGAGATATGTAAGGGACAAAAACATTTCAATTTGCTGTGCTTCTTCTACAAGTGAAAAAAAGTTTTAGTCTGTTGTTATAAAAACCTGCAACCTAAAATTAGGAAGTAAACCCAAACATGCATAAATGGAAATGAGGAATATCTTAGCTGGCTGGGTCTAACTTACCTGGACAAACACAATGGCTTGTTGTGGATAATAAACAGAAGCAGCCAGTCCCATGAAAGCAGGTGGATACACCAACTTCTTTATTTTTGAACCTATTCAATAAAAGGTTGTAGATGTCATCAAAGTAGTCATTATCCGTTCCATAATAATTTACCATGTACTTCTAATAATGAGTAAGACACTGTTGGTCTCAAAGGACAGAGAACATACCTAATCATATCATGCACAGCAAAAAGAGCTACCACATTCTCATCGCTTTGAGATACAATGCACACAACTCACCCAAAGTGTGCAATTCAGTGGCTCTTAGAGGTGTGGAAACTCTCACCACACAGTCCACGTTAAAACACTGCAATCACCTCAGAAAAGAAACCCATACTCTGGGGGCTGGAGCCATAGTACAGCGGGTAGGATTCTTGCTTTGCACACGGCTGACCCGAGTTCAAATCCCAGTGCCCCATACGGTTCCCCAAGCCCACCAGGAGTGTTCCCTCAGCACCAAGTCAGAATTAAGCCCTAAGCACCACTGGGTGTGGCTCCAAAACAAAACAAAGCAGCCCACATCCATTAGAGTCACCCCTAATTTTCTCATCATCTCAAGCCTAAGGAACCACTAACCTCCTTTCTATCTTTATAGATGTGCCTCCTCTGGACGTACCATATAAATGGAATTATACACCAGGTGATCCTTTGTGACTGGTTTCATTTATACAATGATCAAGTACCCATCTCTCCACCAGTGCCCACTTCCCACAACCACGGATCCCAGTATCCCTCTCACCCCCCCCCCATCCCCCTCACCCCACCCTGCCTCTGTGGCAGGGCATTCCCCTGCCTCTTTTGCAAACCACAACACCCAAAAGGAGAGGACTGGCTTCTTTTTTTAAAAACAGACCCACTATTTCTAAAGGAACAGGGGGGAAAGACCACTTCAAAATCAATTTCACGCATTATTTTTGTTTCTAATACTTGCATTCCTTTACAGGAAAATGGCTTCCTATTTAAATACTATACTCAAGTATTCTTCTCCTAATACCATGTTAAATAGTAAAATGAATAGATGATATAGATGACAGGCTGACAAGGAAATATGGGTGGAGGAGCTATGGGTACTAAGAAATGTCAACCAGGGGTTGGAGCAATAGCACAGTGTGTAGGGCATTTGCCTTGCATGCAGCTGACCTGGGTTCAATTCCCAGCATCCCATATGGACCCCTAAGAACCGCCAGAGGTAATTCCTGAGTGCAGAGCCAGGAGTAACTGCTGTGTATCACCAGGTGTGACCCAAAAAGCCAAAAAAAAGAAAAAAAGAAAAAAAGACATGAAGACATGTCAACCAGTTGTCAGAGTATAAAGAGGGACAGAAGCCAAGTTCCCAGGAGGGGCTTTAGGAGCGTCTCCAGGGAAGGCAGCCACTGTGGAGGCTGGTAGGGCAACCACAGATGAAGACAGGAGGACAGATACACACCCTGAGCATGAAACAGGTGACCCCGTGCTTCCCCTTTGCCGTCTTACAATAAAAATTCCAGTGGCCAAACAGTCTCTGAGTCAACTCATTGTTTGTTTGGGGGGCACTCCAAGCAGTAATCAGGGCTTACTCCTGGCTCTGAGATCAAGGATCACTCCTAGTGGGGCTCGAAGAACCACAGGGGGTGCTGGGGATCGAAGCCAGGTTGTCACAGGTAAAGTAATCACCATCACTATGCCATCATCCCTCACTAGGGTGAATTCTTAAAGGGAGGGAAATATCTCTCAACCAATGCCACAGATTTTCTGCTGAGAATCCAGACAGCTAGTATGTGTTGCGCATGTGTGTGGTGTGTGTTTGGGGGAGGTACATGTACACATGTATATGTGCGCTAGAACCAAAGAATACAGCCCCTTCATATGTGTAGGTACCACCCAGCATGAGGTCAGTTTCCCTCTGGCTCACCCTAAGGGAGAATCTGTTTGTCAGCAAGTCCCATCTAGACATGAAACGTTCTTACTAGCGTTCAATGGCCTTCTTCTTAAACATGACTGGGCAACCAAGGTTTAGCAATTACCTTTATTTTCTCTGGATCTAAAACACTTGGGAATGGTCATTTGAGAACAGCCTGCTTCATAAAAGAGAAGATCAAGACAAGCAAGAAGACAGAAATGACCCCACAGGAAACAGAAGGGACTTAAGCACAAAATGAAACCTGTTATTAAGTGTCATTGAAAACACTAAAGAAGCTACTGTATTAAGGAGAAAAATAATTTTATGTGGCTCATGGATATAGATCAGCAATTGGGGAGGGAGGGAGGAGGAAGAGAGGGGGGGCGGAGAGAGAGAATTCTATGATAAAGGAACAACTGAAGGGACCGGAAAGATAGTACAGTGAACAGGATGCTGACCTGGCCTGGGTTGATGCCTGGTATCACACATGATTCTCCAAGCCCCTCCAAGAGTGATCCCTGAGCACAGAGTAGGAGAAAACCCTTAGCACTGCCAGGTGTAGCCCAAAAGTTACCCCCCCCCAATGGAGAAAAAAGAGCCCTTGGAAGTGACAAAGTAAAAAAAAGAGAAAATCAGAAAAAACAAAATAATCAAAAAGTATGCTTTAGTTGATTTTTTTAAAGTAAAAAAGTTTTATTTAGGAAATACTAAATGAAAGAGAGAAAGAAGCAAGAACCCCATGGAGTAAAAGAAAGGAATTACTCCGAGTTGGGATGTGGTCGATTCCAGAGCCAAATGAGCCAATATGGTTAGTTTAAACACAACTGCTAATTAAAGAAGTGGAGGAAGGAAGATAAACGAGAACAAAAATTTCAAAGAAATACAAAACAGCTTCCTCCTATAGTGGAAAGCTGCAAGGCCCCCGAATGCACGAACAAAGAATGAGAAACACCTGAATGTATTCACAGCGCCATAAAAACTCACAACACTGAAGACTGAGGCCATCCCCAAACCTGACAATGAACATGATACAAAGAAAGCTGTTAAGTTGAGAGTAAATTCCACAAGTTCTCATCACAAGAAGAAAGTTTTTTTCCTTTTTTTCTTTATTGTCTTTTTATTGTAGCTATCTGAGAAGATGGATGTTAGCAGAACCGACTGTGATAAACTTTTCACAATATATGCAAATCAAATCAACAGGCTGTGTACTGTAAACTTATACTGTGATGAATGTCAATTACCTCTCAGTTAAAAGGAGAGTGAAAAAAGAAATGATCTTTAAAGCTTCCAGAAAAAAAAAGTCAATCCAGAAGGAAGAAGCATCCAAAGTGACTGCTAATACCACTCCTGGGAATATATCCCAGAGAGGCAAAAAAGTATAGTCGAAGTGACATCTGCACTTCTATGTTCTATTCTGACTATTCACAATAGCCAAAATCTGGAAAAAACCCGAGTGCCCGAGAACAGATGACTGGTTAAAGAAAATTTGGTACATCTACACAATGGAGTACTATGTAGCTGTTAGAAAAGATGAAGTCATGAAATTTACATACAAGTGGTACTACATGGAAAGTATCATGTTAAGCAAAATGAGTCAGAAAGAGAGGGATAGACATAGAAAGACCGCATTCATCTGGGGAACATAAAGTAACAAAATAGGAGACTAACACCCAAGAATGGCTGAGATTAGTACCAGGAATTTTGCTCCATGGCTTGGAGGCCAGCCACACATGCTAGGGGGAAAGGGAGCTCAGATAGAGAAGGGAGCATCAAATAAAGGGTGTTGGGAGGATCCTCCCAGGATGGGAGAAGCATGCTGAAAGTAGACTATAGACCAAACATGATTGCCACTTAATGCCTCTTTTGCAAACCACAACACCCAAAAGGAGAGAGAGAACAAAAGGGAATGCCCTGCCACAGAGGCAGGGTGGGATGGGGGGATGGGGGTGGGAGGGATACTGGGACCCGTGGTGGTGGGAAATGGGCACTGGTGGAGGGATGGGTATTTGATCATTGTATAATTGAAACCCAAGCACAAAAATTTGTAAGTCTACAACTGTACCTCCTGGTGTTTCACTAATAAAAATTAAAAAAAAAAAACAACAAAGTGACTGCTAATTCACATCTTTAACACTGGTTGCTGCTATCATAGTCTTGTGTTTATGGAAAACAAACTCTATACCCATGCAAACTATCACCTCACCTTCTGTGAAGAAAAGCAGGAATTTTAACACTTATTAAGAGTTGCAAAGTTTCCCACAATAACATTTTTTAAAGAAAAAGTGACTTAAAAACAAAAAACAGGGGGTGCAGAGAGAGTACAGCATGCTTGCCTTCCATGCAGCCAATCCAGCTTCAAACCCCAGCAGCACATATGGTCCCTTGAACTTCGCCCAGATGTGATCCCTGAGCACAGAGCCAGGAGTATGCCCTGAGCTCAGCCAGGTGTGTTCCAATAACAAAAAAGCAAAACAAAAAGAATCAAAAGATAATTTAAAATGCTAGTAGTGCAGGGGCCAGGGAGCTGATACAGAAGATAAGGTGCTCGCCTTGCATGCGGCTGACCAAGTTCAATCCCTGATATCCCATATGGTCTCCTGTGTCCACCAGAAATGACACTGGACTAAGCCTTGTGCACAGCTGGGTGTGGCCCTCAAATAACAACAAAAAAAAACCTAGTGCATGCGCTTTCCATTCAGGTGGCCTGGGTTCTATCCCCTACGGGCAGCACATGGTCCCCCAAGTCCCACATTGTGTGGCCTCCTCCCAGTACTGAGCTGGAAGTAACTCCTGGGCACCTTAGCTGTGGTCCCAAAGCCAACAAAAGAAAAAAGTGACTAACATATGTAGTTCAATAACATGGCACGGCAAACTAAAATGGTGACATGAAACCGGGCTAATGGAACTCCAACCCAAGAGAGCCATATCCTGAGAAACAGCTGTGACCAGTCTCAATCTCTACCTAGGAGAGGGTAGAGAGCCCTGGGGAGAGGGGCATCAATGGAATAGCGAGCGAGACAGATTGCAGGGAGAAACCTGAGTGAGGTTAAGAAAACCGGCAGAGGGGCAAGAGCAGAGAATGCATTTAGAAAGTGACCCTAAAAGTGGAGTTCATGCCCGATTCAATCAGCCTAATCAGTGGCTGAATAAATAGCAGTACTCCTACATAAA